CAAAACCGTCTGTAAATTGCACATCCCCAGGAGGGCCCGATAAATCCGGGGCATTCGGCAAATTTCTGGGGCACTCGTATTCACTATCCGACTCCCCTCCCGGCTTTGGCCCACTCTGACTGGCCGACTGGTCGACTCCCCGACTGGCCGACTGCGGGGTCGGAAAATTCTTTCCGGTGCCTCAGCAATTTTCGTTTTCTTGAGCAGGGACATACCGTCCCGGCATTCCGATAGTCCTGCCACGAAATGTTCTTAGAACCCACCAAAAACAAAAACAATGTTCTTAGAACATGAGCCCGATGTGATAAAACAAGACTGTCCCAATCAGAAGTGTTCTCAGAACATTGCGTGGGGACCACAAGATGTTCTCAGAACGCTGTTTGGTAGGACTATAGGCACGCCAGGACGCTTCGCCACTGCTTGATTTTCGGGGCAGCGCGGGGAGGCAGATCTGAAGACCCTTTCAGAGTGTTCAACCAGTGCAGCGCAGTGCAACTTCCCGTGCCTCGGACGTCCCTTCCTTGTGTTTTTTGTCGGTTTCGTGCGTGGTTGTTTCGCAGCATGATCCAGGAGGCTCCTTTATAATCCCCGCCGAAACAAAAGGCACACGCCCGAGCGATGCCGAGGCAAAGCAATGCCCAGCGGCCACGGCGGCGACGGGCGGCAGCGAGCCGGCCAGACCCGCACCCGGGGCCCACCGGGGGGCACGGCGGCGATATCGGCGGCAACGAGCCCTGAGCTCCTCCTCCTCCTCCTCCTGCTCCTCCTCCTCCTCTTCCTCCTCCTCCTCCCCCTCCTCCTCCTGCTCCTCCTCCTCCTCTCGAGCCGGCAAGACCGGCCCCAGAGCTCAGTTACCGCAGAAGCGAAGCAGGACCCCCCCAGCGCAAGCCCTGCCAGGGGGGAAATCGTGTTTACGTTTTGTTGTCCTCGTCGAAGAAGAACTCCGCGTACTGGCGAGCGGCGTGGCGTCCGTCCAGCCCGCCTCAGGGGAGCCCAGAAATCGAATCGATAAGTCGGATCGGCGATCGAAACGAACCAGATCGGCGGAAAAATCGGCAGCCCAGTCTGGAGACGTCGCATCGACGGAAATCGTCCAGCCTGCAGGCCTCCACTGAGGAATCGGCACCTGAGTCGGAATCCCAGATCGAGTCGAATCGGCATCGGCAGCCATCGGAATCGAATCTAATCGAATCGAATCGAAGGAATCGAAATCAACCCTTCTGGCCTCTGAGCGGCTTCATGGCGACTGGGGAGGCGAGGATTACTGAACTGCAGAGCTTCGGTGTCCTGGCATACCGAAATCCACCAGTTCATGAATCCTCGCCTCCCCAGTCGTCATGGAGATGCTCAGGGGCCGGATCGCTGAGCTGAAGGATCTCAGGGGGCGTACCTGAGGCCACGAGGGAGGAGGCCAGGGCCAGCGCCGCGTTCGTGTCGTCGCTGTACATGCCCCGGCGCGCCTGCGCCTCGTCGCCTGGCTCCGGGGGGCCGACGTAGCTGCCCTGGCCCATGTGTATGCATGGGACGACCAGGGAACAAGTAGAGTCTGTCCGAGGAGGAGGAGGAGGAGGAGGAGGAGGAGGAGGAGGAGGAGGACGAGGAGGACGAGGAGGACGAGGAAGAGGAGGAAGAGGAGGAGGAGGAGGAGGAGGAGGAGGAGGAGGAGGAGGAGGAGGAGGTCCCCCTTCTCCCGCCCCGCTCCTGCGTAACCTTTCGGATCGGCATATTGTGTTCATTGGAAAAACAAAATCCGATCGAGCAAATCCCCGGACCTCCCCCGGACAACCTGGACAGCACATGCTTATTAATGAAGACAAGACGGCCTACCCTGGACAACCCAACGGGGATCCAGACAACCCCACTGGACAACCCCCCTCGGACAATAGAGAAGGAACAAGAACACACGAACGTAAACTTCTGGCGCTCCGCGTGGATTTCTTGCGCGCCAGGGGCGGCGCCGGAGGCGCCGCCGAGGGGGCACCAGCGCAGACCCGAGAAATCCGCATTTTTTTTCTTCTTCGACTTGGACAAGCCTCCCAAGGATTTGTCTTCCATAAGATATAATCGCCTTTCGGAGGTCCGCGCGGGTCTCTCGGACCGGCGCGGGCGCCGGGCGCCGCCCCCAGCGGCGCCGGGGGGCCCAGCGCTGCGATCCAAGAACTCAGCGAGGACCTCGGCACATTTCTGTTTATACCATTGCCTGGCTAGGTCGGGCGTGTCCCCCTACAGGCGGATTTTGGACGACAGATACACTAGAACATACCCCACAAATATTCAAAACATTTTCAAAAATGGTCAACACGTCGTCCCTGGACTTTTTTAAAAATACCATTTTTGAATATTCCCCCTGTAGAAGGACAGGCCCGACTTAATAGTCACTACCTGTTCCCCGAGATGAAATCCCACACGAGCCCTCTGCACTCCGGCTCCGGAAAGCGCGTCCGCGCCAGCTCCAGAATCTGCTGGGCGGACCACCCCTCGCAGCACGTTCCCAACGCATCGCCGATCATGTGGCCCAGGAGGCATCCCACGGCCACGTCGGCTGCCGGCGAGGGTGCTCTGTATGGGATCTGGCACTGCGGCGTCATCGGACTGTACCTTTTCGCAACGGCCTTGGCACTCCTGGGCCAGCACGTCCCGCATCCCTGGCACCTCATGGCCGGCTTGAGCCGTAAGGGCTCTGAGATATCGAGGAGGGACAGAGAGAGAAAGAGAGAGAGAGAGAGAACAGAGAACAGAGCGAGAGAGAGAGAGAAGGAGACAAAGACAGAGACATACAGAGAGGCAGGGGGAGAGAGAGAGAGAGAGAGAGGGATATACAATATATATATAATATACAGGCATACAAGGAATGAGAAAGACAGGGAAGGAGGACCGAATGAAAACGCCAGGAACGAGTACGGGGAACACCGAGGACGGGCGCCACCTCACGAGAAAGAGTGCACTGGGCATTTCGAAAGGCCGACGTCCGTGCGTGCATTGCTGTAGATGCAGTTGCGAATCGAAGATGCGACCGAGAGGTATCCTGCACAAAATCGCCGCCTGTGGCTCGGCATTGCTAGTGCGAAAAATTCCGCGCGAATGCAATTAGCGTGTCAGCACGTGCCCTGTGGCCATTGGGGGAACTAAATCAGATTCCCAACGTGGGCCGCACAAGATGTGCTTCTGGTAATTTATGTGATGCCGTCTAGGTGGTGCTGTCTATGTGGTCCAATGTCCGTTGTGCAATACTTGTTGGGTCTACGTGGTCCAATGTCGGTTGTGCAATACTTGTTGGGCAATATCTATATATATAGATATGCATATATATATATATATAGATATGTATATATATATATATATATATGTGGTGCAATAACCTATGTTGTGCAATGCACGTTGTGCGATATATGATGCGCAGTCCATTTGTCGCGGGCAAATGTTGTACTCCCTATGTTGTGCATCTTGGTGTAACCCATGCGGTGCAATTCGCCCTGCTGAACTTGAAGCTGTCATCTTCACTTCTCGGGCAATCATCCCACCCGCCCACCCGCAACTTGGTCTGCAACACCCTTGCGGTTGAGGTTCTTGGCCTGTCAGCAATCGACCTGGAACCGCGCTGACCTCAAGATCCCGGGAGTCTCCAAGACGCGCCTCCTGATGCAATCCCCCGGGACTTCACCGAAGCGCCTGCGAGGCCCCCGAGACGACGACGACCACTCCTCGGAGATCGCCGAGCACGCTTTGCGAGAACCCTTGAGTGCTTGCGTCTTTTCCGGAATGGGCACGGCCAGCGAGCTTCACGGTGGATCTGGCGAGGCTGCTCGGGGGCCCCCGCGGAGCTGCGGAGACGATCCAGAGCGCCTAGACGACACCCGAGAGCGAGAAGCCCCCCCTCCGAGGAAGCTGGACGGGGCGCCAGGAATAACGCGGAGGGAAGAACTCTGCGGCCGCGCGGGCCTGGCGCGTCGCCGCGACCGCGCGGGAAGCGCCCACCATCCCGGGGCGCGGAGAACCACCACCCGGAGCTGTCCGCCGCCGGCACGCGGCGGCTCGCAGGCCGACGAGCGAGGGCCCGCCGGCCCTCGGAAAGCGCGCCGCCCCGCTGCCCGGCCTCGCCGGCCCCGGCATGGGCGCCTTCTGCTCGCCCTCGCGCGGGCCCCGCAGCCCGGAGGCGCTTTTGCCCGGAGGGGCGCCCCTACCCTGAAGTCGAAGTCGGGCGTGTCCCCCGAAAGGGGGATGTTGGGCGAAACATAAGAAGTCCCCCCAAAAGTATGCCGAAGTGGTCAAGACGTATCCAAAAATTGTCCCCAGACTATTTTTAAAACTTTTTTTCCACCGCACCCATTTGATGAAGGCTCGAACTCGATATAAGCCAAATCTAAAAAACGCCGGCCGCGTCAACGTCACCCCAAACGGGCTCCGGTCACATTCCCCCCCGGAGGCGACAGAGATGCACCACTCTGGAACTCCTAGAACACTTCGGTCAGGAATCCAACTCCTATCGAACATTCCTCCTGTAGAGGGCCCGGCCCGACTTTTACCCTACCCGAGGGCGCTGAAGTCGCCCTCGGCGCCGGCCCCGTGCCCGCCGCCCGCGTCGGCGTCGGCCCTGGGCGGGCCGGTGGGCGCAGAGGCGCCGGCCCCAAAGAGGGGCGCTGCCCTCGGCTGCTGCACCGCCCGCTGGCCCGCCCAACAGAAAGGGGCCCCAGAACACACAAACAAGTACACACAGATAAAAAAAATCCCCATATTTTCATACATTTTCGGGGTTTTCGTCTTCCACCCCACTTCCCCTATTTTCGCACATTTTCCTGGGGATCGACGATTCATTGTGTCTGTGTGTTTTGTCTCCTCCTGACAACATCGGGCGTTGGCAGAACTGGGTTTAATGGAGCCTGGTTCAAGGATTTGTGCCGGGGGCGCGCCCCCGTCCCATTTCCACTAAGCGGAACTGCCGTCACCCGAAAAACACCAGTTACGGCAAACCTGGTTTCGTGAATCTGGTAATTGAGGGGCCCCAGGGCCCTACCACTAACCGGGTCCCCTTACCCGGGGTCCTGGCTATAGCCGACAACAGCGCCAAGCCGCCGCCGGCGTCGGAATCGCCCTTCGCCAGTTCGACCGGCGCGCAGACTCCCCTTCAGGAGGCCTGCGACGGGCGCGCTGGCGGCGCCGAGGACGTGCCTGGGCGCAGGACGTGCCGGGCGCCAGCGCGCCCAGAGCGAACCTGCCAGGGGCAGGGGGGCCTTGCCCCGCCGAGTCAGTCAGACTCCTCGTCGGACATGTCGGAATCGCCTCTGGAGTCTGGGCCCCTCCCCACTTGCTCCGAAGGCGCCCCGGGGCCGCCCGCCGGCAGCCCGTCCGCCGAAGGCGACCTGAGTAGAAAACGCCGTCGTGGCGCGAGGCCCTGCTCGGACCGACGTGCGCGAAGCCCCAGCAGGCCGGGCGCCAGAGCTCGAAGCGCAAGACGGCTCGGCGCAACATGACGCCATGTTCCGTGCGAGTCGCGAGGCCGTGCCCGTGCAAACGCATGCCCTGTTCCATCTTGACGGGGTGCGACAAGACGTGGGCACGGCGGAAGAGCCGCTCGATGAACGCGGGCGGCCTGGGCGCCCCGTCAGCAAGGACGAAGGCGACGGTGCCCGTGGCGCCATTGAAAAGGCCCCTGTCCTTGTCGATGTTGTTGGTCGTCCGCAGCCACGTGCCGACCTGCGCGACCACCCTGTGGTCGCCGCAATCGGGGTCGGGGCGGAGGGCAGAAGGGTGCATGCACACTGATGGAAGCCTGGCCCAAGTCATAGCGCTGCCGAAGGCGCCGTATTGACCTTCTGCGCGCCCTCGCTGGTGCACGTGTGCCGCGTGGCGGGGCGCCCCTCCGCGGGGGCGCCTCCTGGGGGACCTGGCGACGCTCGGCCGCGGCGCGGGGCAGGTCGCGGCCGAGTCGCCGAGGGCCGACGGAATCCAGGAGAATCCCCCCCTGGTGGGTTGCCAGGCGCGGACCTCCGAGGGGAAAGTCCACCACCGCGGGATCCCTAGGGCCGGCGAACTCGCGCGTGTCCATGTGAGTGTGCCAGAGGCCATCGTTAGAAACAAGTGTAGGACGAACCCACCTCTGCCCACCGGCCGGAGCTGGGGCAAGTCCCCGGCGAAGACGACCAAGGGATGCCGTGGCAGTTCCAAGAGGACGGGCAGCGGCATCTCGAATGTGTGGTCGTCCAGCTGGGGGACCTCAGCAGTGGAGATGGCGTCGTGCTGGGTGATCGTCGTCGGGGGCGAGTGCGTATTCCGATCGTAGTTCCCAGGGGACTCGCCAGGCCAAGTGGATCGTCCCCAGGGTGATGACCTTGGCGTTCAGCCTGCCCCTGTACCGGTCACGAGCACGCTGGTCGGGCAGGCTATGGGCTCCCGGGCCCCGCGCTGGGAGGCCTCGCGCGCCGCGTCAATGAGATCCACGACCGCCCCCCGCGGGTCCCCCCTTTGCCCAAGGGGAGGAGGAGGAGGAAGAGGAGGAGGAGGAGGAGGAGGAGGTAGAAGAAGAAGAAGACTCGGCCTTGCGCGTGGTCTGTGCCGATCCCTGACCGCGCGTGAACCCGTGCAATCAGAGCCCTACCTCGAACGATCATCGATCGAGTGCGATGAGGTCGTGAGTAGCGCGCGCCGTGCAGCCTGTCGTACGTGCTCGTACCCAGGCAGTCGCAAATCGTGAGACCCCTCGAGGGCTGGGGGGGACACCCCACTGGCCTCCCAGTGCCGAGCCCACGTCGCTGCGGGCGACGGGCAGGCCTCCGAGGCACCCGCCCCGCCCCGAGGAGGGACCCACACTCCAGCAAGCGACGGACGAAAGGGGAACGACGCGGGAGAGAGGCGACGAGGCGAGAGGGCGAGGCCAAAGCAGGAGAAGAGCAGAGGAAGCAGCGGAGGGGAGTGTGGGTCCCCGAATTCAGGAAGATGGCCACTCCGAGAAGACAGTGAGGACAGTGCCGACGGGGAGCAACGGTGCGAGGGTCACTAACGGCGCACCGCCGGGCAGTCCCCACTCGCGCCGCGCCCCCCGCTCGGCGCGGCCTAGAGGAACGGGGCCTCGGGCATCGAGGTCACGTGGCAGTCAGGTACTCGGTGGTGGTCAGCGCGGGCGTGCACACAAAGCCGCGAATACACCACATAACATCATCAAAGAACGAGAGAGGGCGCGCAGAAGCCGAAGTCGGGCGGCGGCATCAGGTACGTGGGTGCGAGGAGGACGTATGGACCAGCCCGTCTGAGTGTGTAATGTCAAGTATCTGTGAAAAGTAAGTGTCCATCTGAGCCAACTGTGAGCAGTCAAGTAAGACGAGGGGTTCCGTCTCATAGACTTGAAGCACGAGTCGGCGGGAGTCCACCAACCTCAAATCCTCCGGTACACAACGCTCCTTCGGAAAGATAGTTCGTGAACTCAGAATATGGAGGTGCTGTCCACGTCCGTCATGCAATGTCATTCTGCGAGAGTTCCCGTGCTCTGATGCGGGCAAAGAGGGCAGC